GAGAGAGAGAGAGAGAGAGAGAGAGAGAGAGAGAGAGAGAGAGAGAGTTTCGGGCTGTCGAACGAACAACTTGAAAGTCAGTCAATCATTTTTTTATACGCGTGACATGCAATCGAAGAAAATAAATCTCGTCATACTGTTTGTTTTAGTCACGGACATTCTCTCTTCTGCGTATAGAAATTTTATTCCGCTTATTTTCAGTAGAGTTTTTACAGCTATAGATGTCTAATAGTATACCCGACGACCGACGATCCCGAGAGAGATTGACTTACGAGCGAATTGATTTCATTTCCAATGAAAAATTTACAATAGAAGGAACGGAGAGAGAGCGAATGAATTTTTCGTTTTCCTTTTCTCCTCTATATTCGCGAAGCCATATAGGGGAGGCTATTTCAGCGTGGCGCTGACGTTAAATAATCGAGACGTGGCGCAAAAAAAATTTTTTTTTCCCTTCCCGGTCGTCGGCGGGCGCGCGAGGGTAGAATTTCGACCCGCGGCGGTGTGGAATGAGACGTCACGTTCGGAAGCGATGACGTCGGAAAAGCGACGGTTCTATGAATGGAGGCGAAGCCTCGGGGGATCAAGTCGGCAGGCAAGGACGACTAATTATAGCGTTAGCGTCTCTCTAACGTCGTTTTGTACATTAACCATGTGCACCGTCACGCACACGTGCGTACGCGCGTGTATTATACGGCGCGCCTGTGGTAACCGAGATTATGATCGGGCACGATCCATTTTGATCGTCGTCGTCGTCGTCGTCGTCGTCGTCCGTCGTCGTCACCGTCATCGTCGCCGTCGTCGGTGCGGGGATGCGAATTCAGGACGGCGAACGTGCGTCACGCTTACCCTTGTCCTGCTGTCGGCACACCTGTGTGTGTGTGTCTGTATGTATGTCAATGTATGTACGGGCATCTCACACAACATCCACCGACAAATTACCGCGAGAGGAACACTCCCCGGGCTCGATACTCGGCAGATAAATCGGACACGAGCGTGATGTACGCGGCGAGTTCCTCCCACTCGGAACGTCCGATCTTAATTTTAACGACTTTTCGATACGTCGGTGATAAGTATCTCGCCGACCGTGGAGCCTGAAACGGCTGGAACGGCTGCAGGAACTAATGCTCCGAGGCTTTCGAATTATCCGACGTGATTCGGATTACGAAGGTAGATTGGATTTGGCTGTTTAAACGAGAAGCTTCCCTTCCCTGGGGGGAAACCCTTTTCAATAGGGACTGCTAATACTCCGGCGTTTTAAATAGATAAGAGATAGGGCGAGTCTCACAAATTGGTTGGAAAATCTCTCAGTAAAATCATGGTCCGCGAAGCGCACAGCGAAGCACAATTATCTCTCTCGTGCTTGACAGAAGGGAACGACAAAAACGTTATCGAAATTAGGACACAAAAATGAAAAGAATTGGAAAGAGGAAATGTGCGGCACATCTTCCAGAGTAATCTAAACGGATAAATTGTCCCGCGCCGCATCATGCGGGAACGCTTGGAAAGGCCCAATTAAGCTAAAAGTATAGTGTTGCCGGTGACACCGTAAACAGACAAGGTCGCCGAACAAGCGTAAACGCCGCGTGAAAGTGACCGCCGTCGCTAATTATCGCGACGAAAGAGGAGTGGGCGTGTTGTATGCGCGTGAGTGAAATTACATTCATTCACGTTGGCGTTACTATTGTGACAGTTGAACAAATGTATCGGCTTACGTTTCCCCTCGGGGACACGCGCCAGTTCGAAGTTTCCAAATTAATTAATAGCAATTCCGCGCTTCTCAAGCGGCGTGCACTACAACCGTGTCGGAATTTAACATCGATTTTGACCCCCCTTTGACGCGCAACATGCAATTTCCGCGTTATACGAGAATTGTAAAGCCGAAAATAATGCGAATGTGAGCCAGCGATTGTCCCGTGCCGACAAAACGAGATTTGTATCGGAGCTTCGTCTTCCTTCCCCCGAGTCGCAAATATATCGTAATTTACAATTTAGATATATTTTTGTAATTTTCGAGATGTAGCTTGTGTTTGGGAGTTTAAATAAGCGTGCATCCATGAAACAGTTTTATTTATTTCTTACACCATTGTAAAATAGCTTTGTGTTATAACAAGATATTTCGGATTTAAGTCTAATCATCTAATATCTTAGTACCTTTAATAACATGATGCCAAACATAGCACACATGTCGAAATTGTAATTTTGCCGGTACAAACCTGTGTAGGTAATAATTGATGCTAATTATTATAGGAGAGAGAGATGAAGAACAAGAGACAAAATTAATATCAGTGATGTAATTTAGTAGTAAGTGGTATACATAGAAGCAAAGCTAATATTAAATTTGAGGATTTGTCTTAAATAGAACTTTTATGAATGTATAAAGATAAGGAATGTGCAAATATATACGTAATATTGATTTCCAGTTAAACAATTCATAATCACATTACATCATGTTACGTAACATAAAATATATCCATACCTGATGTGTAAATACCTCGAAAAAGTACTCAAAAATAGCTTGTTGTAATGTATAAGAGGGAAAAAAATATGTTTTTATATTTAGATATATACGTACGCAGAGATATCGAAAATCTACTGATACATTATGTAAAATCCAACATTTAATTCATCCCAACTACAAGGAATATCTACCTTAGAAAATCATATGAAAAGAAACGATTTAAAAATATTTCTCGAGAGAACTCTTCAGCTTGTGGGGATCCACGTTAGGGCCGTGTCGTTCGACGACCTTGCCCTCCTTATTGACGATGAACTTGGTGAAGTTCCATTTTATGAAGTTACCTAGCAGGCCACCTTGTTCTTTCTTCAGATATGACCACAGAGGATGCGTATTATTTCCGTTCACGTCGATTTTCTCGAACAAATCAAATTTTACCTGTGGAAAAAATATCGAAATATATAAATATTAGTTCATTTCTCAAGGAAGGCAAGCGATTTTTGTCTGCGTTCACAATATAAACTCTATCGTCGTTGCTCTCATTATACAATTACAAAATAATATTATATACTATTAAATTTTCTTTTTTAGTCAAATAGAATATTATTTTTCTTATACTACGTTTACGCGAGCGTTATTTCTGTAGTAACTTACGATAATTCCTTCGCGTATATATAAACGGGATTTTGTAGTAATTTACGATAATTTACTCCGCGTAAACGGGTGAATTATTATCATAAGTTACTACAGAAGTAACGCTCGCGTAAACGTAGTATTAGTCGCATATATTCCGCGAAAGATCGTGAACGGGGGGAGGGGGGGAGGAATTACTTTCTGACGATCGGCGAAGCTGCAAATGTCCTCGCTATTTCCCGGCTCCTGCCCGTTGAACTGGTTACAGGGGAATGCTAGAATTCGTAATCCTGCCGAATAATACGAAATATTTAATCGTCGCACGGAATAGTTTTCTATAGATTTCTTCGTAGCGCAAAAATTACCTTTGGATTCGGCGTACTCGTCGTACAGTTCGTTGAGTTCTTTGTAATTCGTCGGCGTGAGGCCGCATTTCGAGGCGACGTTTACGATCAAACACACGTGGCCTTCATATCTGAACCAACGACAGATGATATTACATCTTTTCCGCAACACGATGTTTACGCCCGACACAGTGTCGGGTTCATGCTTACTTGGACAAAGGGACTTCCTCTCCTCTGATGGAGTTCGCTGTGAAGTCGTAAATCGACGTGGCCGACTTGTAATCCTTGTTTCCGCTCATCGCTGCCGCAACTGCAATCGCGTTGAAACTTTTCAAAATGGCAAATAGATAATCAGCGTTGACAGATCGCGAGTGACAGATAATTCATTTTGCAAATGTTAATTCGATTATCGTATTTTTTTACGTTTTCACAATTCGACGTTAATTCATTTTCTACATCTACATTAGCCGTAAGTCGCATTAATTAAAAACGAGGACAGTAAATGTGCTTCATGTTTTGTGTTTTTCCTTATATAAACGGACAATAAATAATTACGTTGAAACATCGTAAGCTTTGCAAAAGGAAGCGCTCGATAATTTGAGAAAATTGAAATCTAGTTTAAAATCATGTTGAAAGACGTGGTGATAAAATAATAATATTTGTGCTTTTAGTATGCATCATTTTGCTCTTTAAAAATCGCTCTCGATATCGCGATTATTTTCACGCTGAAGCACGCGAAAAGCCAAAAAGACGCAGAAAGCACAATGAAGCGATATTCTGTAATAAAAATTTTTGTGAGGTTCTCTTAATTCGGCGAGTAATCAGGATGAAATGATACGTGCAATATAGAGAGCGCACTCCAAGCTATTACGATTAAACTGGTATTATGAAAAGCAATCGAGTCGAATAAAGTGTCTGGAAAATTTCTCGCGATTTTTCCATCTCCCTCGAGTTTCAATCGCAATAATTTTCACAAACGGATCATTTCGACAGTAATTATTTGTGATCGTCAAATTGGTGTTTATCGTTAGCTAACGGGGGAAATGATGCAACCGTCGAGTGGGGAGGGAAGAAGCAATTATCAAATTACGTGCCTGCGAAATTTCGGGCTAAGTGCACGAATCCGGTGGGTAGCATGAATTTTATAATGCGCATTTCCGGTGTGCCGGAGGCCCCGCTCCTGAAACTGCCGATACAGGAAGGGAAGGGGGGAAGGGATAATATTATGAGTCCAATCCCCCGTTAACAAAAATAATTCGGGGAACTTTATCTCGCGACTTACTCACTATTTTCCCACGATTGTTCTGTTCTCTCAACATGTAGGAGGAACATGTAGGAGAAAAGATTATATTGTAGCATTTACGCGAATTTATATTCAATTATTGTATCATATTGTAAAAATATAGAATTGCATTTTGTTGTAAAAATATTGTATTATATTGTAAAAATGGAGACAACGAGATTCAAGAGCATTATCGACATTATTTACATTTCCGCGAATGTATTTTTCATTATTAAATTATATTGCATTAAAGATATATGAAAATGGTGAATTTTACAAATAATTAAACAGTTGTTATTCAAAATACATAAATGTACGGAAAGAATTTCCATTACAAGTTGCGGGCTGTTAATTTATCGTAAATATGTATAATTACAAAGATATAAATGAAATGAATATTTCGTTGAAATAAATAGCAGTGTAATTCACAAAATAAAGCTCTCGAATAGCATCGTTTGAAATAAATGTGGGTAGTATTTGGCTCGATTTTCCTTGCGCTTGACCAATTGAACCAAATAATTCGTATAACGTAATGACCGGGTTTGGAAATTGCGTAAAACCACCGTGATATATAAGCAAATCGTAAAACGAGACGATTACGTCCGGACGGATATATGAGTTGCCATTGAAACAAGATGACTGGGCAATTCCGTTGTATGAAATAAGACAATAAGGCTAAATCGACGATAAAACATCGAACATTGGACATTTGTCAAACACATACAAAAATTTGCAATAATACGTAAATTTACGATACAAATTTACATATCTTACATATTTACATTTTATTCTGATTTGAGGGAAGAACTCTCATCTATTTTTATACGATATTATTTAATATCGAGATCGAGATACTTTGAGAGGTGGATAGATTTTTTGATGAAATTCGGAGTAGTGGATTCTGTTTCGATTGCAAAGCGGTACTTTTCCGTCGCACGGATGCTGCATATCCTAAATTGAGGATAGGCAAAAGTCATTAATCGATCGATGTTGGTTGCTCTTTTTTTCGTTACGAAATCGATCGGTTCCTCGATGGTTTTGAAATTCAGTGAATTGTTATATCGATTTTTTTCGTTTGACGTTATTAAATTTTGTTACCGGAACATATGGCGAACATATAAATTTACTCATCTATCGTGGACGAGACATCCTACGTGTCGAAATTAATTCCTCCTGTTATTTCTTATTCTCGTTTATCGTATCTAAGCCCTTGGGTATTCGATCAAACTTCGATTAACTTAATTGACTGGTGAAAAATATCAACATTTTGTTAACGAGAATAAAATTGTTAATTTTTTAATTTAATTTGAAAAGAGAGATTAAATTAAAAACAACGAATTACATAATTATAAATTTTACTGTAAATACTGGCGCATTAATTATCGATTAAATTAATCAAACTTTGATCAAAGTAACCTTTTAAACTGTTTAATATTAATCATCTATATAGAAATTACGAATTAATAGATTATCACCATGTTTTCGAGATATTATCCATTATGAAAAATTATGTTTTTTTTTTTAAATCATTTATTTGAATAAATTAATTTTTCCGACATCGTCCATCCCTATTCTCGATATTCGGATGTAATCGCGAGTATCGACGTGTGTAGCGCGCAGAATTCCGCGAATGGTGGCCATCTATCGTCCGCCGGCTCAACCTCGCGGAGAGATGACTGGCCGGCGATTGCTCCTAGCGTGGAATCTACGCCTAACTCCGCGCTCGATGTCTCGGTTATATCTCCGTGAGATATTTCCTCGATGTCGGTTCTCATAAACGCCACCGCGAATCTCGCGCACCCGCTAATATAAGACGGGACGAGTTGTCGCTTACCGCTGAGAAACGCAAAAACTAGCTGAACGAGCGCCGAAAATATCACACGAACTGATCGCCGGCAATCGCTGTTTCACACTGACCAGTCACGCTGAACCGTGAACTATTGCGCCGAACGGCGCGCGGCGGAGCGACTTTTAACGCGCATGTGCGCCAGGCGCCGGTTCGCGAGTACCCGGATATCAGTAGCGGATTGAAACATCTTG